GGGGGGGGGGGGGGGGGGGGGGGGCCTTGGAACGAATGAATATTCATGATTATTGTCCAGTACGCTACTCGTGGCTACTCTAGGCCGACTATCAACATCGGATTGGTCTAGACCCTGCCTGGTTCAACATTTTCAACATTTTATACCACTTCTCAATGGAAGCACCCGGCATTGATGATGCTGTCGTCTACCCAAATCAAGAGCGAACGGACATACTCTCACTTGGAAGTCGAGAAGGTTGAATATAAGCCCGTCAAAACGGCTACGACACCGCATGCCCCAGGGTCTGGTATCGCACCAGTGATATCGTGCTTTTCACCATTCTCAGCACCAGAGTGTGCTCCGACATATGCTGAGCGTCCGAAAGACGATGGTAGCTCCTTGGTCGCTTCCGTGCCTTTTTTCGCAGCCTCCAAGGACGATGCAAGTATGTTTGCAATGTCATCGCTCCTGGTAGACGCCTCGCTAAATGTCCGGACGAAAGGAATGAGCGTATCCATCAGGGTCCTACTCCCCTCACGGGCAGTGGTATATCGCTTGAGGTTCTCAAGAGCATCCTGTGCACTCTTCGCAAAAACGGATGCAGATAGACCTTGATCCTGCTTGTAGTGCTGTTGGACAGATCTCGCGAAGGCTCCAAAGAACAAGCCATACAAAGCTCCAGATGTGCCACCCATAGTATCCATGACAGCTTTTGAAACGTCAAGGAGAATATGCGACAGGCTATCGTGGCTTCCACCGTTCACCACGTCGAGAACTGCTTTCGCTCCTGATAGCAAGGTTGTGCCACAATCCCCGTCGCCGATCACGGTATCGAAGTGAGTGATCTCGGGCTCTTGCTTCGCGACTTCTCTGTAGACATTTTCAAACAAGGTAGATACGAATGAAGCGTCACCTATTACGAAGTCAGTCCACGTGCTCATTCTTTTGAAGATTGTTGCATACATGGTATGCTTTCCACACTAGAAAAGTCCACAACTGGGCCACCAGACACCACTCTGCTGTCAATCGGGAGTTGCTGTGTTGAAGATTCCAACAAGGATGGGGTCCATCCTGCGCACTGAGCAGGTGCATCGAGGAGAGACAACAGATAGGAAGGCTCTGGGCCATCTGCCTTGGGTTCCAAATTAAGCAGGCTGATACTGAAGCCTGGCCCGTTCAGAGATGTCATGTACGGCCCCACGTATATTCTTTGTGGCCGAATCTGGTACGTCTCTTCCAAACGCGAAACGGCGACATGGGAGATTGCATGAATCTCCAATACAGATAAACCACCGAGGTTGTTGACCAACAGAACCACCGGAAGCCTTTGGGGGGTGCCGTGGATTTCCAAATAAGCGCGACCGGGGTCATTCGGGTTCAGCAGATGGTCCAGCATGCCGTCGACGAGGGTCACAATGTCTGGCTGAGGAGAGATTTTCCTCGTCCCCGGTTCATTGTGTATTCCCATTCCAAGCTCAATTTCATCGCTGGCGAGAGACATCACCTCACTGTGACCAGGCGGGATACAGTGATCCAGAGACGCTCCGATAGTGACAATGTTATTGGCCACGTACTGTGCCACTTGTGCGACCTGTGTCAACGTGCCACCTGCGGAAGCCGCTGCACCAGCTATCTTGTGAACGAGAACCGTTCCAGCTAGACCTCTTCGACCAACTTTCTGGTTGCGCGATCGAGGTACAGAGACATCGTCTTGCACCACGACCATCTCCATGTGATGTTTTGCCGTGGCTTGGTAGATCTCAGCAGCGAGCCCGAAGTTGAGCTTGTCACCCGTGTAATTCTTGACGATCATGAGGGTACCATGCCGGGAGGAGATATATCCTAGTCCTTGAAGAATCTGCTGTACACCGGGCGATGCAAAGACTGCACCACACACAGCAGCGTCAAGCATGCCTTTACCGACATATCCAGCATGTGCAGGCTCATGGCCACTTCCGCCTGGTAATGTCAGGTCAGGTTCATCACCGTGATGTTCAACGCCTACCTCCACTTATTATGGTTACTCGCGGTTGCTCTTTAATCTCGTTCCTAAAGACAACTAGCTAGTGTAAGTCTTTGGTTCAACAAGTGGCTGATCAAGGTACCTTTGTGCTGCGAGTCATATCTCAAGGCTGGATTCAGACTAAGCAGCGACCTGCACATTCCATCAATGAGTGCTGAGGAGTCGGAGATGAACCATTTTGTAGCCATCCCTTAGCGTTTGCAGCCTTCCGAAAGAGGCCTTCGTCTAAGTCAGTGGTGTTCCCAGAGGTATGACCTAGGCTTTGTGTTAAAGGTCAGGACACGCGCGCCAGAGCCAAAGGCACCATGACCTTGACCTGACGATTCCAGTATAAGAAATATCCGGCAGTGTAACTCATTCACCCCGACCCGCACTCATCTCGGTCACGTCCGAAAGGCACGCTCAAGCCTGGAAGAGTAGAAAAAGTGGCAAAGCTTGGATTATGCGTGAAGGCTTGGTATTCATACGCACAAGAAGTGCTTCGCTTTATTGCACACGTTGGTGAAGTCCTAATAAGCAACCTTCAAAGTCTACCATAATCTATTCTCAAAGCCTCTACGTTTCCCCTCGACCAAGTTATCTATATGCATCTTCCATGCTCTATTATGCACTGAGACTCAATCCGCGACTTTTTTATGTTCACGTCGAGTTGTTGACGCTTCCAGAATCACTGCTGGTCAGACTTTCTTGACCGAAGCCTCGCGTCACATTGGAAACCATGTATTCATCTTCTGGCGAAACTTCAAAGTCGAACCTGCAGACGTTGTCTATAAACGGCCACATAAACTTGCTCGTCACCCTGAATGACACAAGTTAGCTTGTCTCGGAGATCGATGGAGACAGCAGAAAACGTGGTGCATCAAAGAGACATACTCATGGTGCTCTTTACTGGCCTGGTACTCTTCCAATGCTTTCAGATTGTGATGATAGCTGACCAGGCAATAATGGTAGCCTTGACTGCGTGATATCGGATCTGTAACTGATGGCCCACCGACCAGTAAACGATGATCCTTGACGCAAGATAGGTTCTTCAGCTTCTTGAGTTCCCGTTGAAATGTGTCTTTGTGCTCTTGTGTGATCTCAGGTCGAAATCTAAACATGACTATTCTGTGCGATTAGCCAGGTCTGGCCAGATTCGAGTAGACCTACCTATATGGACAACTGTCGCCATCTCGAGTAATCCTGCTTGTGTGACGCAGACTCTGAGCTCTTCGGAAGTGTAAAGCGACGGATAGCTGGAAATAACGTATTTCCGAGCTGCTGAACTGTTCCAAAGAGATATTGTAAATATGTGAGCTGTGTCTACTATGAGTATGATGAGTCTTTGGGCGACAGGGTCTGGGCAAGGTCTGTGGTCGAGCCGGGGCCGTTCCCGTTACGTCGAAGCGGGCAAGCGAGACTCCGTGTTTGACCAAGTCACCGGGGAGCCTCTTCGTTGCCGGTACTTTTATCAGCGCATGTGGACCATTCCCGTGCGTATCCGACACAATGCGCCGACATTACCTTGGCAGGGGGTTCATGTCTGGAGCAAGTTGAGAATTTGCTCGGACCAGGACCGAGGAGCCGCTACCCGCAAGCAAAACATCTGAGTATCACACAATTCCAGTCCCACTCTCGGATCAAGTCCTAGTATGACAGGGAGAGATCGACTTGAACACGCCCATCTATGAAGAAGCATATGACTCAAGGATTTCAACTTGTCAGGCAATAATAAACATGGCCTAGAATACTCCAAGTGTCATCTCGCCATCGCCTCTTGTGTAGAACACCACTGACTGTACAATTCCACTTCGACGCAGAACAGATTTATTGACAGATCGACATGGGCCGGAGTGCGTCCGAGATTATTCAAGAGCTTCAAGCTTTTGGATCATGTGATGTATGTCAAGCTGGCACGAGACAGTACCTGGAGTTCCGGGCTCATCCCTCAATTTTACTAGGTTGCTGATGGTCTGTCCAAAATCAAACATCCGTATGGCGGGTACCTCGAAGGTTTGGTGATGTACTCGCCCAAACTACAGGAGGGAGACACCAAAATTATTGGACAAGCATTTACCGTCAAGTTTGTGCCAAAGTCGGACAAGCAGGCGCCTTCAATATCAGGACATTATGTGAGATGCCGAGCTTCGTGACTTATACCTGGTGCTTGGACTCAGGACTGACACTGTAGCAGATTGACAAGGTGCCAGCAAATCAGGTCCTATTCATGTCACAGCCGGAGCCACACTTGAACGCCGTCTTTGGCGGCCTCATGGGCTTGCGTGCTCAAGCACTGGGAGCTGCTGGAGTCGTCGTAGACGGCATGATCCGAGACTTAGGAGAACATAGAGCACTAGGCATGCCGGTAAGCTCTAATACACCCGGTGGTCAGACTGCCAATGGTACTTGAAGCTAACGCAGACCCACAGGTATTTGGCCGAGCAGTCGGCACGACGGCCGCGAATGAAGTGTGCCGGGTATCTGAAGTAAATGTCCCTGTCAAGCTCAATACAAGCAAGCAAGATGTCACGATTTCGCCGGGTGATTTCATTGTCGCAGACTTGAACGGCATCGTTTGCTTGCCACGGGAGCTGGCGGATGCGGTATTGGATGTCATCCCTGGGAAAGTAGCAACCGACAACAAATGTGCAGATGGCATCCGTAATGGTCGATCGGTAGAGGATGTGTTTAAAGAATTCAGATGAAAACGATGGTGGACGGTAAGTGCAATGCAGTCAGATGCAGGTGGGACCTGGTAGATTGGATCTTGTAGATTGGATCTATGGGAGATAGTTCATTGGACCTTGATAAGGCTTCACAGTGCTATCTAGGTTGAACAAACCCATAAGAGAAAACATTCCCTGCCATATGTAAGCGCGATTTGTCAAGCTCAGCAAGTCTCAAAAAGGTCTCAATGAGTTTGCAGGCAGCATGTTGGAAGTTTGGATGACCGCAAGGAATCTTCGTTTTACTTTGGCACAGGTCTGATTGTTGTTTCACCGAATTCAGCGGTCCGAAAGTCGAAACAGAGTGTCATTTCATCTCCCTTTTAATTACAAGTATCTTTCTCTATTGTTTAGGCTATCACAAGTATTGCCGACGTTGCCTCAAGTGTACTTCATCTTCTCCACGCCGGCTAGCTCTGCTTCCTTGTTCATGTTCTTGATCTCCGTCAAGGTGAAAGGCACCCCCTCCTTCAGTCGCTTCTCTTTATTCAGAAGCTCTATCTCACCAGGGAAATAGATCCGATCCACTTCAGGCATCTTCTCGCTAGTCACGACTTTCTGATACAGATATTCCATCCGCGATCGAAAGTCGTCGAGGCTCATGAAGAGATCAGGTTTGATAGCGACAAGGAAATGGCCTACATCCGCAGGCTTGGTGAAGTCGTATGGTCCACCAACGTGGCCGGCGAAAGCCGATCCAGACAACACTCCGGAGAAAACGTCCATCATTATAGAAAGGGCCGAGCCCTTGGGACCTCCCATAGGTAGCATAACTCCTTCTAGAGCCTTGGCTGGGTCGTCAGTCGGCCTTCCTTCCTTATCCAAGGCCCAGTCTAGTGGGATTTTCTCGCCACGTCGAAGAGCTTTATATACTTTACCACGGGCAGCCACTGAGGGCGCCATATCGAGAATGAAAGGGCGCTCCGGAGTTCCGCCAGGAGCTCCGCATGCCAAGGGCGAGACCCCCATGGTCTTCGTACGACCACCCCAGACTGGCTGAGCTGCCGAAGAATTTGTGAAGACAAGGGACATCATGTTGGCGTCCACCGCTTGCTGTACCATCCATGCAGCCATGCCGTAATGATTCGAGTGCTTGACAGACACCATGCCAATGCCAAACTCCTTGGCCATATCTATGGCCCTTGTCATCGCGAGATGAGCGGCCACGAATCCAAAGCCATTCTTCGCGTCAACCGATGCGGCCACAGGGGTGACCTGTGTCAGAACTGGCGTGGCGGCAGGATCCAGAATCTTGTTCCGAATTCTCTCAATGTATGTCGGGATACGGTTGGCTCCGTGCGTATCGACGCCACGTAAGTCGGCCTGTAAAAGGCAGTTGGAAATGATGGTGGCATTCTCGCGAGAGACCCCATTAGCGCATAGAACATCCTGAACAAACTTCTGGTGGTCGGCCGGCTTCACATAGTTGACTTCTTGAGCGTTGTCCGACATGGCGAATGTAGTGTGGAAATTGGGCAATAAGCTACTAGATTTAAAAGGTGATAGTCAAATTTAACAAATGTGCTGACACAGCAACGAGTTTCGATCGACAAGTGTGTTCGAGCCCTGCAGTACGTATATAAATGATGGTGAAAATTACATGGCCGGTAAGAGTCCAGACATCCGACGAAGGAGCAGTGAGTAGACAGTGGTCAACCTCGGACCTTTTCCTTCGTTCCAGCCTGAGTATGGCTCGCTTCCGGTCCGAGCAACGAAAGTCCTTCCGTTAGTACCTTGGCAAAATTCTCACTAGCTGGGCTCGGCTGGGTCGAGACTCGAGCTCTCTCCTACCCACGCCTACCACAGTGAGTACTCATGTGCACACGGGCTTGCGCGAACGACGGGGTCATCTGATACTACAGAGATTTCTTACCAATATTCTCGGTACAATACCGAGGGCAGACACTCCTCCGACAGCGGCCGTGGCCTGTTCTGCACCCTGTGCCACCCACGGGGTTACGGCACGACCATGGGTTTCTCCAGGATCGGTTCTCCACAAGTCGCTGATATTTGATAGACGAGTATCGTGCGCATAGGAGGTAGCCTCTGGCCTCATCCAGTCTATTTTCGATCCAAGTTGATCCCTGTGCCCTCCAATCCCTTTTGGCCAACATATTGCACAAGGTCTTGAGCAGACGGGCAAAACATTGAACATGGCTGGCGGAGCAGCGGTGAACATATTCCATCTCAAGAGTGGCTTTGCTCTTCCACCCGGCGTCCTCAATTGGAGACTGTGGTTCGCTGTCGCTGCTTTTGCGGTACTGGGAGCTGCGCGTGGTATCGATGAAGGACTCATCAGCGGAGCTTTCAAGTCACCCGACTTTCAAGACTTGATAAAATATCACAGCTATACCGAGGCTGAACAGACCAATATCAAGGGCAATGTCACCGCCATGGTTCAGATTGGGTCGGTCGGCGGAGCTCTCTTGTAAGCAATTCCGAATCTTTACCTATCACCACGGGGCATGATCGATTGACTGACCTTCGAAAGGGCCTTCCTCGTATGTGACCGTATTGGTCGTCTCTGGGCAACTCGTCAACTTTGTATATTTTGGATCCTTGGTATTGCCATCTTCATGGGCAACAACGGAAACCTTGGAGCTGTCTATGCTGGCCGCTTCATCGCTGGTCTGGGAGTAGGCCAGAGCGTGGTGGTCGGCCCGGTGTACCTCGCAGAGGTGGCTCCAGCCCCCATTCGTGGTCTTTGCACCTGTGTCTTTGCCGGGTTCAACTATATCGGCATCCTGGTGGCATACTTTGCCAATTACGGTTGTGCCATTCATCAAAAGGGAACCAGAAACCAATGGGTACGTTGACCTTCTACGTGTTACGCTCCAGCTTTGTCGAAGCCGTTATTGACTGTGACATACACAGATGATTCCAACCAGTTTGAACTTTATGTTTGCCGGGATCATTTTCATCCTCTCCTTTTTCCAATATGAATCGCCACGATACCTGATCAAGAAGGGCAAGTTGGACAAGGCCGTGACCAATATGACTCAGATCCGTCGTCTCCCAGCAGATCACCCTTACGTCGTGCAGGAGATTACTGCGATCAATAGCCAATGGCACGAAGAGCAAGAAGCCACAAAGGGACAAGGTGCACTGGGAATTGCCAAGGAAATATTCTTGATCCCCAAGAATCTCTACCGTTTCTACCTCGCTCTGATGGCACAAATCCTTTCACAGTGGTCCGGCGCAGGATCTATCACAATCTATGCCGTGGACCTTTTCGCCCTGTTCGGAGTCAAGGGAAACAATGAATCCCTTCTTGTAACGGCTGTCTTTGGTATCGTCAAGTTGGTCGCCGCCTTGGTATGCGCATTTATCCTGGTCGATTATATCGGACGCAAACGTTCATTGGTGTCTGGAATCAGCCTGCAAGCCTTGTCAATGATCTATCTCGCCGCATTCCTTACCGCCGTCCCGCCCGGAGCGGATGGCGAGGACATTCCAATGACTTCATCCGACAAGGCTGCCAGCAAAGGGGCTATCTTCATGATGTATCTTTCTGGCTTCGGATGGGCGCTAGGATGGAACAGTCTACAGTATCTGCTCGTTGCAGAGCTATTTCCACTCCGTATAAGGGCTGTGTGCACTTCGGTCATCATGTCGGCCCATTTTGCGAACCAATATGGCAACTCGCGGGCGGTGCCGAATATGCTGCTTTCCACGAGCAAGGGAGGACTTGGCCCCGCTGGAACCTTCTGGCTCTTTGGTGGTATCACTATTTTCGGTGGTATCTGGGTTTGGCTGACTGTTCCAGAGACGGCCGGTCTACCCTTAGAGCAGATGGACGGTCTTTTCGACCTCCCATGGTACAAGATTGGTCGTGAAGGGAGAAAGTATGCTGACTTGCAAGAGACCGAGAACAGGGAAAAAATCCCTGTTTCAGTCGTTGAGCATGTTGAGAATGAGAATGAACAGCCCAAGGCCGCGGCGTAAAGATGAGGGATGGACTTTTGCCAATAGGAGGTGGATCAATGGAGGAATTTGAGGTTGGGGTGAGGGCTGGAGCAGCCAGTGACTAGGTTAATCGACAGATTAGATCTAACAAGGCAGTGCTATGAGCTTGGTGCGCGATATAGTCACAACCAAGGTTTGGCATTTAGGGAGTCTGGCGTCTGTTTTATCAACTACAGCAGTAATATCGGACGTCGGCCTATCGGTGGAGTATCACTTCATGTCGAGATGGGCAAAGCCTCAAGTGAGCGTCCCAGGCGCCCGAGAGAATTCACAAGGGCTAGTCCACGTTCTTCTACAGTTGTATATTTTACATGGCGTCTGTAATGCAGCGAAGGAAATCCCGATCGGCCCCAGACCAACTAGAGCGATAGTTTGTTTTGGAGTTTCCGTCATTCTGGCGGTCAAAGTTCTCCCCTGTTCACTCCTAAACCATGTCAGTTATAGTGACCGTGCTTTTCTAATTAACCCCTTTTAAAGATATCTTCAGCGATTACTATTACAGGTAATGCCGAGGTTAGCCTTTAGCTATAATAACGAGTGATCTACGCTACCATTTAATGGAAATAAGAATTATATATAGACAGTGTGGACAACCAAATATTAAAATAATAAGGTTAAACTAATTTACTTATATCTCAAAGATACTTACACTATTTTATGCTGTCTAGAAAATAACTAATATATTAAGTGAAGAAGCAATACTCTAAGAGACATTAAGAGACACATATTACAAGTTGGCCTGCCCGCAGACCGCATACCAACCCATGACTACAGACATCGAAAGGAGACAAGTCAAGCGAAGGCAACCTTGCTTACAAGGCTGGCGCACGTGACTTCCATAATAAGAAAGAAAGTGTTGTACTGTAGTGCTAAAGTGCTGTGATGGGCAGCATAATAACACTACAACAGTGCAGCACAACACCATCCACATATATATACACAGTCATTACATAGACTTACTATATAGTCAACTTCATTCACGATCATACCCATACATTTTGGTTATAATTACTTCGCTCTTATACTCGCTCAAGTACTTAGTTCTTAGTGACCTCGCCTCTTATACTTCTCACTTATTAGAAAATAATATATATAGTGACACCCTTAATAAAGCAAAACATAACACTTTAATTATCTCTTAATTAGAAGTATTCAATATAATATCTAGCTCTAACCCCAAGATAGTTCGATCACCCTTACTAACTAGCTTAGTTTATTTCTCTGTATCCACTTTAACCACTATAGAGAGAATTATTAATAAAGATAATATTAGAATTAATTACTATTATAATGAAAAGAAGAAATTAAAGATTTTTCTGAATTAGATTAAAACTATCTTTAAGCTTTAGTCTATTAAGTATATTAATATCTAAGCTAAGATCTTATTCACTATTATTAATATAAAAGATAATATCTATATATAACTTAAATCTATATATATAAATTACCTTAAAATTAATAATCTTAACAATATATAATAAGATACTTAAGCTATCTTTAGCTTATTTATAATCTATAAAGAGCGTCTTAAATAAATCTTTAGAGTGACTAAGAAAGAATATAGTATAGTAAGAATTATTTAAAAACTATATTAAAAGAACTTAACTACTTATTACTACTCTTTATTTACTTAGTTAAGCGCTAGATTAAATTAAAATAATAAGACTAAATATATAGCTTATTATATAGAGTTAAAGAATATAATTAAGAACAAAATAATTAAGATCTTAAATATATTTAATAAACTAGTTAAGAAGTTCATTAAAATCGATAACTATCTCTAAAAACAATATATAGAGAAGAATAAATAGATTAGTATATTCTTCTAGAGAGAAAGAAAGAAATTTAATAATATATATTATAAAGATTTAATAAATCTTAATACTATAGAATAAAATTAATCTTTATAACTAAAGAATAAGTTTTAGTGTAAAGATTTATTAACTAAAAAATAAGAATAATAAAAGAAAGAAAATCTATACTATATCTATAATAAATTTAGATATAGAGCTAAAGAATATAATAAAAAATCTTTAAGACTATATATAATGAAAGTAAAAATTAATATAGAAGAAGAAAAGACTAATACTTCTATAAAAAAATAGATAGAATATTTCGAGAAGAGAATTATAGAAATAAGTATTAAAATATAGATTAAAAGAACTAAGTATTAAGCGACTATTAAATTCTTTAATAAAGAACTTAAATAAGCTAATAATATTTTAAAAGTATAAAAAAAGATATTTAAAAATATTTAGCTAAAGAAAGCGACTTTAAAATTATCTTTATAGAAGAATAGTAAAGAGATTATTATAATTATAAAGACCTTTCTTAACTTAAAAGAGTAAAATAAAGAAACTAAAGAAGAAATAGAACACTTATTTATATCTTAATATTTTTATTATAAAAATAAATATATTACTTATTATCTTAATATTAAGAATTCTAGATAGATTTCTTTAAGATATAAAGATAAAAGTCTATAAGAACTATATAAGAGATAAATCACTAGCTAAAATAAAAAAGATATTATTAACTATATAAGAGAAAGCGATTATCTTCTAAGAATTATATAAATTAAGTATAAAGTTATAGAAATCGAGATAAAGTACTAATTATAAGATAATAGAGATAAAATAGTTTTTAATCTTAATTATAAGAATACTTTATAATAATAATCTAAGATTATTATTATAAAAAGATATTTAAAATATTAAGATAAAAAAACTTATTTCTATATTAAGTTAATTAAGAAATATTATAATTTTTTATTTAAAGACAAAAATAAACTTATAATTAATAAGTTTAATCTTAATATCTTAAAACTTTATTAAATTATCTATAAAAACTATAAAATAATCTAAATTATAATAAACTACTAGTTAATAATTAATAAGATATCTATATTTTATTTATTTAGTGTAAAGAAAATAGAGCTCTATATAGTGTAAATAAAGATTTATTATAATAAAGATTATAATAATTATAATAAAGAAAGATATACTTATAAGATCTAAGAAAATATATAGATATATATATTTCTAGATAAAAATAAAGAAAAAGATATATCTAGCGATAATAAAAATAATAAAGAATATATAAATATTACACTTAAAAAAATAGCTATATATTAATACATAAATAAATATCGAGTAATATTAAATTAATATAATATTATAATACTTAAAACTAAACACTAAACAGAAAGACTCTATAAAAAATAGTATATACTAGATTATAAAGAAAATTATAAGTGATTTAACTCTTTTAAGAATCAAGAGAAAAAGACAAAAATAGTTTTTATTATTATATATAATAATTAGATTTATTATAACTAATTCTATATATATAATATACTAAAATTAAATAAATTTAAGTTTCTATTTAAAGAAAAAATAAGAGAGTAATATCTAAAGAAAACTAATAAAGACATTATATTATTTTATGACTATAGTCACGCGATTATTCTCACTCAATACTAGTCTTACTATAAAGAATCTATTTAAGAAACACTTTATATTAATAATAAGTTTCGCCTAAACCTAGATATCACTTAAGAGAAGCACTAAAAAGTGACTATCTAGAGATATTTTAAGTGTTCAATATTAAGTATATATATATATAAGATAATGAATAAATAGCTATATCTATTTTCTTTTAAAAACCAAGATAATTTTATACCCCACGAGATCGATATAGATATAGCTACACACTATATTAAGCTCAAGATAACTAATATAGTATAACTAATTAGTATACACTTTTAGATAATATAGCTAAATAAAAGCAAATAATTTACACCTTATTAGAATCCTTAGAAATAATAAACTAGGTTAATTCTCTATATATATATAGATAATATATATCTATATAACGATATATATATATATAAGATAAAAGAATAGAAAACACACTATAATTTAAAGCGAGAACTATACTCTTTAAATAATAACATAAAATACTACTTAAAAGAGACGTTTATAATAATGAGCATCGAAATAGATAAAGAGTTAAGAAACTATAAGATATTAATAGAAAAAAAGATATTTACAGTAATTAACACTAGATACTAAGTCAATAGTTTAGAACTAAAATATCTAGATATTTATTAATAATTTTGTCTTAATAAAACCCCATATACACAAGAGAGAATTATATATATATAAAAGTATAAAGATAATAAGTGCGATATCAACTTAAATATTAAATATACACACAATATAATAGAAGTGAATTATTATAAAATACTAATTAAAGAATCTCTAAGTGAGGAGAACAACAATATAGATAATAATACTTAGTATAAGGTACTATACTAAGAAGTTATCTATATAATTATAATCACTTACTAATGAATCGATATAAAGTGCTTAATATTAAGCGAATATAAGATATTATATATAATAACTAACTTATCTAGTACTAGAAGAAAAAGCTTATAAACTGTGACATTATAGCGATATAAAGAATATAACAAGATCACGAAATTATATATACACTAGATTAAGAATTAAAAGGATTATCTCGAGTTCCTGTTTAGGGAACCTAATAATCTAAAGAATAACGAATTCACTAGAGCAAGAGAAGTCGCGAAGAAATATAAGATATTAAGTTGAGATAAATATAAGGTCATTATAACAATATATTAATAAATCATAATAGAGAGTCAGGCTTGATTCACGCCACAAGGCTATTTATAATCAGTCCACAAAATAATTAGGCTAAAGCGATATAGCTAGTAAAAATATCTCGATAAACCAGGTGACTATACCCACTTAATTAAAAACTAAAGAATATATTGATTCCTAGCTATTAACCTAATAAATATTAACGCATTAAGAAATAACTTAAGGTAAAAAGATAAGATACTTATAATAACTAACACACCTAAATAGAACAATAATTCTATTAAGTTTATCGCTATTAGCGCTAACACTTAATCCTTTTACATAATTACACTATATTAGAAACTAAATTTA